CCCCCCCCACTATATCATGGTATAGTGTTTAAATGTATGCCTGAGAAACATAATATTGACCCTTTAAGAAGAAATAAATATTTTTTTCAAGAGAAAATCCAAATATCACATTTTCCCAGCTGTGTCAGATAAAGCAATATGCCAGTCCTCAAGAGTTTCCCTGCAAGTTCATCAGCTTCTGTCAGGCGATYTCAGCCTTGATGATAAAACATCAGTCCACAGTATTTTCATCAGCACATCAAAGAAGCGTGAGACTTGTGAAGACTTGGTACAGAAACCTGGCTTCAAATGGATTTAATCTGGCTAATTCAAAGGGCAGAATGATTTAGTGTGTGTTCAAAAATCTGAAGGTGAAGAAGATGATGATGTGCAAACAAAATAAATGGATTGTCAGTGATAATACTGAAAGTTACAGTGGCCGCTCGGTCTCCTTGTCCACTTATTCCTGATATGACTGCTGTCTRTCACTTTGATAGTCACCTGCCAGTTAAATCTTCACTTAATGACRTGAAAATTGAAAATGAAGCTCCTTTTGGCATTGATGTTGAAGTTCAGACATTAGATATGTCGCATCTGTTTTGACACAAAAGTGCAAGTGCATTTTAGTTGTATTGTGGAACCATAAAGAGGCGGCCGCTGTTGCTGCTGCTAAGCCTCCAATTGTGAAAGTGCTTTTAAATCTCAACACAGACAGCRTGTGACCCAGACAGGACAAGGTGCCCTTACAGCAAAAGAGGGATTTTGGTAAAACAAATCAAGTCACCAGAGGCAATAATCCCCTTGCTTCTGTTCTCATGTGACCTAAACCTCTCTATTCTAAGACTTTATTTTTAGACATGACACTCTCTTCCTGACAGCTGAGCAGTAATCCTGTCCTGGCAGCACGATCATAAGACACTTAGGAAGGAAAGGATGGCTCTGCAGCACATGTTATCAACAAAATCCTTTCAGATTCTGATTCACTTACGTTTTAAGAGCTTTATGTTACGGAAGCTAATGTCTGGTCTGCAGTCCAATTCTGTAGACGTGCATTTATTTTTCAATAAAGTTTTTTTTCAATTAAGCTTTAATTTTATGCACAGTGATTTCTGACTAAAGGGGAAAAAACAGATTTGATCAGTTGAAATTCAACAAAAACTATTTTTGCTTTGGTTAAATTGGATCATAAAACTTGAATCGTTAATAAATATTTTCTTTTAGTCTTTGAGAACCTTGTGAAATAATATGCTGTACAACATATATAGTTATACGTATAAAAATACACCAGTGTTTTATAAAATTACTGTAATTAAATAAATTGATACAAGTAGATAGATATGGAATAAAAATAAGTAGTAGACCTGCTTCATAGCAGTTTTTTTTAGCTGAAAATAGTAGGACAAATGTGTGCAATATTGAGGACTGAATTCCACTCAGAGTTTTTTTAGCAGGTAAGGAGCATGCACAGGTGCAGAAGTAGAATCCACTTCTTGTTAAATCTGAGCGTGTACTATTATTTAAAACAAAAAAGGGCTTACATGAAATATGTTTGGGTAACCCTTTCTTTTACAGTCCCCTTTATACCATGCAATTACCTAGCATAAACATGGTAATATTTACTATACAATTACTTGGTAATTACAATAATTTACATGCACATTACTTGGTAAGAACAA